ATATGTTTCATCTTCAGAGAGATTCATGGTAAGGACTCTGACACTTACTCTAGAATACAGGTCTCTGATACACTTCCAGATCATAAAACTGAACTGGGTAGGAAATTATAGAACTATAATGGAAAAACTAATGACTTCATAAAACTACCAACAAAAGATCAAGAACAAATATTAATTATATGGGACTACATGAACTGAGGAGGATGCTCTAATGTTTTGCTTTTCCAGATGTAAAGAAATCTTTTCTTTTAAGCTATCAACAATTTGGTAAGATATACCTTTGAGAACAAAGATGAAATATTTACTTTTTCTTTCTACCTGATTCCTCCAGAATTCAGAAACTCCCAGTGAGTATTCTTATTTTCATTTATTCAGGCCAAGTTTTTAATATAAACAAATTAGTTTTATAGTGATTATCTTTGAAAAAAATTGAGGGTAACAGTGGAGAGAAAAATTGTGTTTGCACCTTTGTAGATATTAGATTCCAGTCTTATGCTGGTATGACCAGCTACTGTAAATCTCTAATGTTTTATACTCAAGACTATCATCACCAGGTTAAAGAAGCTTTCTTGGATTGCAATTTAAAGGATCTTGTTGGTCACAGTCTAGAGGTTGGTGACTGAGTATTCCAGAAGCATCATCAGAGGAAGACAGCCCTCAAGCACCATTGGAAAGGACCTTACCAAGTGCTCCTAACCACTGACACTGCTGCAGAACTAGAAGGCATTTAACCTTGGAGATACATCTCACAGCTCAAGCAGGCTCCACTCGACACCTGGTCCTGTACAAATGCTAGACACCTCCAAATCAAATTGACTAGGAAGAGAAGCAACCAACATCTGAGACAGACAGCTTTCCCCAGATGGCCTAACCAGGCCTATACACATTTTACTTGCTGTTGCTTCTTACCTTATTTTCTCCCTCTCTTTCTTGGAAAGACAATACTCTTATTTGCATCTCCCAATCTATTACAAAAGGGAGAAATCCTTCTGACTGTTGGATTTGTCATCAGAAGCCTCATTCTGTACATGAATCTGGAGAATCCTTTAGTACATTTAATTACCAATCTCTCTGCCATTCCTCCCCTAATTCCTTGTGCTAAGTGTCTAGAACTCATTGCCTAACCAATCAAATCCTTGGTTTAGTTGATTTCATTATAATGACTCCATGATTTGTGCTCCCTTAGGGTATATTTTCACTTGTACTTGGCAGAAAGACCTATGGGGAACACACTGTTTAAATCCCTATCAAACTAGAGGTCATTATGCAATTGGATTATTGGTTACATCTATTTCATTATATGATCAATCAGAAACTCAGCATTGAGCATCACCTTTGAATCTACTTCACAGACTAAAATGTGAGACTTGTTTTATGTATAATCAAGGGTGTTTAATGCCTCGCAGTATCAACCCCAGCAAAGCTACCAGATTTGGAAAAACACTTTTTCCTTGGGTAGGCACTGCCATGAATGACTGTATGATCAGAAACTTGTCTGATACCCTGGCGGATGTTGCTAAATCTGTCGCTAAAGCAATAGCTGCTCCCCCCACCAAAAAAATCTTTGGATTCCCTTGCATAGGTTGTATTAGACAATAGAATTGCTCTTGATAACCTCCTAGCTGAACAAGGTGGAGTTGTTCTGTGATAAACACCTCTTGTTGTACTTGAGTAAACACCGCTGGTGAAGTAAAAACTGAACTAGACAAAATCTGAGCACAGGCCAAATGGTTAAATGCTGTGCCCACTGACCGCCTCCACGGTTCTTTGATCTCTTTAGCTGGCTATTCTCAGGAATTGCCTCCTGGTTTAGATTTATTCTTCAATTTGGACTTAGCATTTTGTTTATTACTATAAGAATTCTCACTGTCGTAAAACTTTGTCTCTTCTGCAGAGCTCAATGTTATAAAAATACCACTGGCTTAATGGTCACTCAGTGTTTTGAAATGATTGCTAAGGCTTACGAGACTTCACCTGAGAAACTTCAAGGAACTACAATGGTTGCCCTTAAAGGAACTTGACAGTAAGGCTTTTCTCTACTCTGGCACTTTTGTTGCTCAAATGTGGCCTAAGGCTCTTAAGGAAACCACTTTTCCTTCTATCTGTGACATGACATAGCAGGAATGAGCCTTCCTGGTGATGAGGGACCAAGAATGCTTTGATGGCTGATCAGCAATGCTTTCAAATGGTTGATCAGCGATGCTTTCAAAGAAATATCTCGATCAAAAGGGAAAAATGTCAAAATTAACAATAATGGAGCCCTTTTAAAATGGAGTTGGAGCTGCCTTTCCAGAGAAACTGCCTTGCTGTCTCGAAACTTGGACTGAGCCAAACCTTTGGACTGGCCCAAAATGACAATTGTGTTATAAGCAATTGTTTGAGAAGTCAGCAGGAGAACTGACATCCTGATCAGAAAGAGGACAGTGGACTTTCTGAAGATAAAATCAATAGTCAATCAATGTTTAGCCAAGACTAGCTCTCTGCCTCCAACTCCAATTAAAATACTTTATAATACAATCTCCCTTCATTGCCTTTAAAAGCCCTTGACTTTTACTCCCTAGTGGGACAATATTTGGGTTTCTACCTGAATCTGTGCTCCCCGAATTGCAATTCTTTGATCCCAAATAAACACTTTGCCTCTTAAACTGGTTTCTGTTTGTAGAGGTTGACACCACTTGACTGACAGCTTTTCCCCTGCCTGTCTTTGAGTCTCTGCCACATGAGTAATGATGGCTGATTCCCTGGGTATAGTAAGCTCTGAATTAAAAGGGACTCTGGAGGAGTGGCTGGCTTTCTTCAGCACTGGAAATCAGGGCATCAGGCCAAGCCTTTACCTCTGGCTTTGGCCTCTAATGCCTGCCCACCCACCTATCCCCACAGAGTAGCCCAGGGGTGTGCAGTTCCTTGTCGTTAATGACAACTTCACCTCTTTCTTTTCCTGTTAGGAATGTAAAGTCAGAATGTGAGTGTTTGAGAGTAATTTTGCTACAGGGATGACTTTGAATCTGCTGTAATTTTTAGGAAAAGCTTTTCATCTTTGATAGTAGCAAATTCCTCTTGACACAGCTCTGAGAAAAGCTGCTCTGCCCTGTGCATGGATTTCCTCTGTAGTGGTTTTCAAACTTCTCCACTAAGGAACTCCTAACGATGGAAGAGAGGGAGCTAGATACTCCTCTCCCCTGGGGGAGTGGAGGTGAGGGAATAATAAATATAATAAAAATAGCACAACAATAGCAATCCTGTATTAAGCATCTACTATGTACCAACTTAATGCTTAGGGCTTTACATACGTTTTCTCATTGAAGCCCCACAACAAATTTGGTTTCCTGGACCGGTAGCTACAGAAGTTGTAGTTCAGAGTTCTATTTTTGTATAAGGTCTGGCCATTGTCCCTTTATATATTCAGCCTCTCGGGAAGGAATCAGCCCCTGTATTGTCAGTAATTTAAGTTGGGGCGAAAGGGGTGGTATTTGTTGGACAAAGTGAAAGTTTATCTTTGACATTGGCTCATCCAACCAAAAAAGTTTAAAGCAAGTTAATAATGGAAATACAATTATAACTCAAAAAGGCTACTTTACATAATACAATAATGTATCCTTTGGTTCTTGCCACTCATCTAGTAGCCAGTTGTCTTACTGGATAGAAATGTAAACTCCTATTGGAAGGACGCTACCATAACGGGAATGTAGGGGAGCCCCACCAGAGTTCAGGTGATTGCTCCAGTTATCTAGAGGGTCAGTGTCTTAACAGAACACTCTGGAGCAGGGAAGAGGAGACGTGTCCACAAAAACATAAGGGCACTTGTGGTTAAAGAAATTTAGAGCTGGGATCCTGAGGCTCAGAGCAGGGAGTAATTGGGGGTTTAGGCTCTTCAGTGCACCCGAGAACCAGACCAATCACAGAGTTTATCTTTGTTCTTTACAAAAGGTTAAGAAGAGAGACAATTAAAAGGAAGAGGCTTGAATTTAAAAGAATAACGACCAAGCCTGCGAAACCTCTCAGGCAGAGGAAGGATTTCAGCGCGTGCAGCGCTGCTTTCCAGCTTTCAACGACTGGACCGGAGCACATCGCATCACGCATCGCGCCGCCAACACCAACATCCCGCCCAGCCTCATAAGGAGGAGGAGGAGCTCCCCACATCCCACTAGGAAGCTTGCGTGGGTGGAGGACCTGCACAGCCCCAGATCCGGGAGCCGGACGGCGGGGATCGAACCGAGAGTTGAGACTCCGACAAACGCGCGCGATCTTTGCGCGGCGGGGCTTTACGGTAATTCTGCGCGGCTGCCCCGCCCTCGTGCGCAGGCGCGGAGCCGTTGCCGGTGGAGCGGTTGCGAGCCGAGCGGTTTCCAGAACCGCCTCGCCGAGGGCCAGGAGCGTGTGGCCTCTGAGCCTGAAGCCCCGGCCTCCGCCTCCGGCGGCGTCGTCGGTAAGTGGACAGCCCTGCCCGAGCAGCCGTCCGCGACCCGGGAAGCGCCCGCCCCGGTGCCGGGGGGTCGAGGCGGGAGGGTGCTGACGAGGTCCAGCCCTCAGACCGCCCCGGGCCCCTCGGCGGGGATGGGAGCGGGGGACACGTCTCCGGGGAAACCGAGGCCGGACGTGGAGCCCGGGAGGAGGGCTGGAGCGCTGGCTCCGAGCTCCCTCCCCGCTCCCCCTCGGCCGGTGGATCAGCACGGGGCGGGAGCCGGGGTTCTCCGGGGAAACTGAGGCCCGGTGGCAGCCCGGAGGAGGGGGCATGGGCTGTGGGTTCCGGAGCGCCCATCACCTCCACGAGGCCGAGGGGCCTGGGGGGCGGGGCGCTCTCGGCCTTTCGTGCCAAGTTGAAGCCGAGCCGCCTCTTTCCCCCGCTACCCTCTCGGTATCGGGTACTGCCTGAGGCTGTAGACCCTGCCACCCTCCCGGAGCAGAAACTGGACCTTGTCCCCAGGCGAATCTCACGAGATGATGATGCCCGGTGCGGTTTGCTTGGACCCGTTTGCAATGACCCTTTCGTCTTTCTGATCCCTAGCATCCGTCGGCATGAATCCCGTGGTCGTGGTCCACGGTGGCGGGGCCAGCAATATCTCCAAGGACCGGAAAGAGCGGGTGCGCCAGGGCATCGTCAGAGCCGCCACCGTTGGTTACAACATCCTCAAGGGGGGAGGGAGCGCAGTTGACGCCGTGGAAGGAGCCGTGACCGTCCTGGAAGATGACCCGGAGTTCAACGCGGGTAAATTTGCCCTGCAGCTAGTAAACGATGCCTAATCAGGTTAAGCTGCTCCCTGAAAAATAAACAGAACTTTTCTAAAGTGTCAATGAATCTAATCAGGTTTGTGGTAAAACTTAACATGCTGAAGAGATCTGATTTTTCTCTTTTTGCCTCTTGACAAAGTTGTTTTAAAGAATTTTTAAACCCATTAACTCACCCTTTTTCCTTTAACCTGCTTCCTAGAATTCACATCCCAAGGGGCATTTTTATTAAGGCTTTTGTGGAGGGTAGGAGTAGACTACATATCATAAACTGCCCATTTTAAGTTTTGAAAAGTATATACTCCTATGTAACTACACCACAACCAAGATGTAAATCATTTCCATCACCCCCGAAAGTTCCTTTATGCAGCTTTGCAGTTAATCCCCCCTCCATCCCCAGCACCAGGCATCCACTGATCTGCTTCTGTCACTATAGATTAATTTGCATTCTCTGGAATTTCATATAAATGCAGTCATGAGAGTGTATTCTTTTGTGTTTGGCTCCTTTCACTCAATCAATCCTGTTTTGGAGTAATGATCATCATAACTACTATGAGTGTCTTCTGTGTACCACGCAGTGGTCTAAGAAATTTATGTGATTAACTCATTTAATTTGCACTGTAGTCCTGTGAGTTAGGTGTAATTGTTATGCTCATTTCTCAGATGGGAAAACTAAGGCACAAAAAGATTAAGTAACTTGCTAGAAGACACGCATTTCCTTTTTGCTGTAAAATAGAAAACCTAAAATCTAGGGATTAAAATACTTCTTGGAAATACACCACCCACCCAGCGTCTGTCAGGGAAAAGAATTTCAGGAAATCTTAACCAATTAGTCATCAGATATCTACTGAGTATTTTTCTGTCCCCTTGCCTCTGCTAAGCATTCTTTAACACTTAAGAAAAATTTCATAAGTGTGCCTGACCATAGAGTGAGGCGTAACTGCATTTTTCTGGCTGTTTGTTGAGCCAGAACTTACTACATGCTCTCCCCTGCCAGCAGGGGGAGCAGCCCGCCGTTTCAGTCGGGGCTTGTTAAACAGTTTGCCTGTTAGTAGTCTGGGCCCTCTTGGATGACAAACCCCCTCTTATTCACTCAGGACCTTCGTTTGGCCAGGTCGTTCTGGTCTCCTACCTTCTCTAACAGGATCAGTCATCTGCGTGAATTGGGACGTATGGATTAGGGAACTGAGCAGCTAGGTCTTGTTTCTTTGCTCTGTCCCCAGAGCCTTCTGAGCGCCTCCCTTCTGATTTCCCAGATGTCTGCTATTCACCACGTTGAGGAAGAAGAAAGTAGGGCTGAGAAGGAAATCAAAGAATTAGGGGGAAAAGTGGGACTTTAACAGCTTACTGTCTACCTTGAGCTCTGTTTTCTATTTGCTTTTCCCAGCTGAGGTCAATACAAACAAACAGTATTTCCGGCAGCTTCAGCTATAATCCTCTAGAACTATTTGGGAACTTCTTACAAAAGGTGGCTCCTGGTAGTTATTGAGCTAAGTGGCAATAATTAGCATTCATAACACAGCTTTTCTGAGTGTTTGTAATAACATTGTTTACATTGTATTCACATTTCAGTATGGATTTCACTTTTGTTTAAAGCTTGTTTCATAATACTTAATTAAAAAGTAGTTTATTTATTAGAAACCAACACTGTAAAAATTGAACTTTTAGATGTGAATGCTAGAAATATTCTTTAAAGACTTGCTTAGATTGGCAACGAAATAATGAACCTTTGTTTTCACTGGAGTTGAGCAATATTTAAACAGAACTTTAGTTACTACAGTTCAATTTTATAAGCTGTCAAAGAGTCTTTGAGATAATAGGATTTTATTTATCCACCCTCTTCTTGAACTCCTTATAATATAACATCTATAAGATAAAAATGTGTGATGGGGTCTAGGAATTTTTTGTTAATTTGTTTTGAAGATTTCCAGGTGATTCTGAAGTACAACCAGCTGTAGAATCCACTAGCCTAATACCATACCTTTTTTTTTTTTTTTTTTTTTTTGGTGAGGAAGACCAGCCCTGAGCTGACATACGATGCCAATCCTCCTCTTTTTTGCTGAGGAACACTGGCCCTGGGCTAACGTCCGTGCCCATCTTCCTCTACTTTGTATGGGATGCCGCCACAGCATGGCTTAACAAGCAGTGCGTCGGTACGCGCCCGGGATCCGAACCAGCGAACTCTGGGCCACCGTAGTGGAGCACACGCGCTTAACCACTTGCGCCACCGGGCCGGCCCCAATACCATACCATTTTAACAGATTTCTTTTTGAGTGTCATTTGTATATAGTAAAATTTCCCTTTATTAGTGAACCGTTCTGTGAATGTGACAAACACAAATAGTCGTGTAACCACCGCCACAATCAAAATATAAAACAGTTCCATTACAAATTCTCCCATACCCCTTTGAGTCCACACCTCCATTCACCCCTAGCCCATCAACAGCTCATGTGTTTTCTGTCCCTCTAGTTTTGCCTTTTCCAGAATTCGTAAATGGAATCATACAATATGTAGTCTTTAGAGTCTGGATTCTTCACTTAGAGTAGGGCATTGGAGGGTTATCCGTGTTGGCACAAGTATTGGTAGTTCATCCCTTTTTATTGTTGAGTAGTATTCCATTGTATGGATATACCACCATTTTTGTCATTTACCCACTGAAGGACATGTTCAATTTTGGGCCATTACAAATCACTGTACATTTGCAAACAGGTTTTCGTGTGAACATGTTTTTATCTCTCTTGGGTGAATAACTTAGGTGTGAGATTGCTGGTCATATGGCAAGTGTATATTTAACTTGATTTGGAACTGCCAAACCGTCTTCCAAAGTAACTACTGTTTTCCATTCCCACCAGCAATGTCTGAAAGTTCTAGTTATTCTGCATCTTCACCAGCACTTGATACTATCAGTATTTTTTATTTTAGCCATTCTAATAGATGTATGGTGGAACTCATGCTAGTGTGAATTTGCATTTCCTTAATGGCAAATGATGTTTATTTTAACATCTTTCAAGTCTTTTGTCAATCCTGTATTGATTTTTTCTCTTTTCTTATTACTGAGTTTTAAGAGTTTTTTGTGTATTCTAGATATAGGTCTTTTCTCAGATACAGACATACCTCATTTTATTGCATCTTGCTTTATTGCTCTTTGCTTTATTGTGCTTCACAGATGTTTTGTTTTTCACAAGACCCTCCCCCAGCAAAAAGATTACAACTTGCTGAAGTCTCAGATGATGGTTAGCATTTTTTAGAAATAAAGTATTTTTTAATTAAGGTATGTACATTGTTTTTTTAGACATAATGCTATTGCACACTTAATAGACTACGTAGTATAGTGTAAACATAACTTTTATGCACACTGGGAAACCAAAAAATTCCCATGACTCACTTTATTGCAATATTCACTTTATTGCAGTGATCTGGAACCAAACTTGCAGTATCTCTAAGATATGCCTGGATGTGATTTGCAGATATTTGCTCCAGTCTGTGGCTTGTCTTTGCTTTCTCTTAACAGTGTCTTTCAAAGAACAGAAGTTCTTAATTTTGTATAAGTCCAATTTATCAATTTTTTTAACGGATCATGCTTTTTGTGTCATATCTTAAGAAATATTTGCCAAACCCAGAGACAGAAACATTTTCTCTTATGTTGTCTTCTAGAAATTTTATAGTTCCAGGTTTTATATTTAGGTCTATGATCATTTTTAATAAATTTTTGTATATGGTGCAAGGTATGTATCAAGGTTTAGTTTTTGCATAATTGTTCCAGCACCAGTTGTTGAAAAGGCAATCTTTTCTCCATTGAATGGCCCTTTTACCTTCGTTGGTAATCAGTTGACTTTATATGTATGAGTCTATTACTGGACTCTGTTCTGTTCCATTTATCTGTATGTATATTATTTCACCAATACCACACCAACTTGATTACCTTAGTTTTATATTGTCTTAAAAATCAGGTAGTAAGAGTCTTCCAACTCTATTTTTTCCATGATTGTGTTAGCTATTCTAGTCTCTTTGCCTTCTTCACAAATTTGAGAATCACCTTGTCTATTTCTACAAAAAAACTCTGCTAGAATTTTTATTAGGATTGTATTGAATCTATAGGTCAGTTTGGAGAGAATTGAAATCTTAATACTGAGCCTTCTAATCCATGAACACAGTATATACTTCCATTTGTTTTGATCTTCTTTGATTTCTTTCACTAGTGTTTGGTAGTTTTCAGCATACAAATCTTATAAATATTTTGTTAGGTTTATACCTAATTATTTCATATATTTTGGTGCCATTGTAAATAGTACTTTTTAAAATTTCAGTTACCAATTGTTCATTGCTAGTATATGAATATACCACTGATTTTTTTTCGTACACTGATTTGCCGCCTTCTCTGTTAAGGTCTTTGACTCATTTTCTAATCAGGTTGTTTGTTTTCTTATTGTTGAGTCTTAAGAGTTATTTGCATATTTTGGATAGCAGTCTTTTATCAGATAAGTCTTTTATAAATACTTTCTCCCAGTCTGTGGCTTGTCTTTTCATTCTCTTGACAGTGGCTTTCATAGGGCAGAAATTTTTCATTTTAATAAACTTCAGCTTAATAATTTTTTCTTGGTGCATGCCTTTGGTATTGTTTCTAAAAAGCCAAACCCAGGGTCATCTAGATTTTCTCCTATGTCATCTTCTAGGAGTTTTATCATTTTGCATTTTACACTTAGGTCTGTGATCCATTTTGAGTTAATTTTTGTGAAGGATGTAAGGTTTGTGTCTAGTTTTGGTTTTTTGCATGTGGATGTCCAGTTGTTCCAGCATCATTTGTTGAAAAGACTTATCTTTGCTCCATTGCATTGCCTTTGTTCCTAAGATTCTGCACCCAATTCCAATGTGTATGGGTTTTTCCATACCACCAAGCAATTCTCAGACACCAGGTGGGTGTCCTGTAATTCAGCTCAGTTCTGACACTATTTACCCAGAGATAGCATCAGATTCCGCAGG